TCCTGTTCAGCTGCTTACAGCATTCAAATGCTTGAGAGTATTCGTATGCTTCTCCGGTTCGGTGGTTGTGGTGTCTGCTGCAGTGCTTGGAGTCCTCAGGAAGCGCTAGGCGCATCCTTCAACGGAGGTACCCAGTCGGGGTGCCAGGTGATCCGTACAATCATATACCTCGACGACATGCTGATCATGGCCCACGACACCCATCTATTGAACCAACATCTATCCTGGGCGTTGACCCTTCTGCAAAACCTGGGTTTCCTAATCAACTGGGACAAGTCAATTATGCAACCTTCACAATCGATAGAATTTCTAGGTTTCGATATAGACGCAGTTCACGGAACGCTCAGTCTACCTACCCCGAAGGTAAAACTCATCAAAAAGGAAATTCGTCGGACCTTGTCACGACCAGTCTTGACCTTACGACACTGGCCAGGATAATTGGTCTGCTGTCCGCTTCCATACAAGCTATCTTCCCGGGACCTCTCCATTACAGATCCCTGCAACAGCTCAAAGCCAACCATCTACGCTTGGGTCAATCTTACACAGATTCTGTGCCTCTAGACTGAGCAGCAAAAGAGGAATTAGCATGGTGGCTTCAACACATGGAAGCATGAAACGGAAAAGCGATATTCGGAACCACCCCGGATCTCATCATAGAATCTGACGCGAGCAGACTCGGATGGGCGCTCGTTGTGGTCCCACCGCTACAGGTGGAAAATGGTCCTCAAAGGAAAAGGAACTCCACATCAATGGTTTGGAACTCCTAGCGTGGTCATTCGCCCCCGGGAGCCACCTCGGACACATGACCAATTGTTCCATACTGTTGCGCATGGACAATATCTCGGCCGTTCGCTACATCAATCACTTGGGTGGCACAAGATCAACAATACTCACGAATCTGGTGAAATAATTTTGGCATTTCTGTCTGAACCGCAACATATCAGTGCAGGCAGAATACCTTCCAGGACTCTCCAAAACCATAGCAGATTGGAACTCCAGGCATTTACGAGACAACAGTGCCTGGCGATTGAATCACTTCATATTCCAGAAACTCCAACAACTCTGGGGCCAGATGCACATCAATCTTTTTGCCTCCTGGCTGAATGCTCAACTTCCTTCGTTCTTCAGCTGGAGACCGGACCCAGACGCCTTGGCAGTGGACGCCTTCTTACAAAATTGGCCAAGCAACCGGCTCTATGCCTTCCCTCCCTTCTCACTCATGGCACAAACTCTCCTACACCTACAACGCTAGTTTTGATAACACCGTTCTGGATGGCACAGCCTTGGTTCCCTTCACTCATGGAAATGTCTATCGACCTTCCCAGACTGATCCCAGGAATCACGGACCTATTATCAGACCCCGATGGGAACTCTCACCCACTTCTGATGCAAGGCCACCTCAGACTTCTAGCATGGCTCCTCTCTGGGGATCCTGGTCCATGCCGAATGTTCCACGAACAACTTTGGACTTCTTGGCGGGAGCTTGGGCCCCAGGAACAAGATGATCCTATACTCATGCCTGGAACACATGGTGTAGTTGGTGCGTGGAACAACACGTGGATCCCCCACGTGCTCCTGTAAATCACGTCCTGGGTTTCCTTACTACCCTGTATGACCAAGGTTTGGCCTACCGCACCATAAATGTGTATAGATCGGCGTTTTCAGCCGGCCACAGTGGATGGGAGGGTTTCCCAGCTGGAAAGCATTTATTGATTTGTTGTCTTTTACGAGGCATAAAATTTGCACGGCCACCACAACCCCGATATAAAGCCTTATGGGATGTTAATAAGGTCCTTCGCTTACTGGAAGACTGGCCTCCAAATTCGGATCTCACACTCAAGCAAGTGTCCGCGAAATTGGCTATGCTCCTGTGTTTAATTTCCTGCTAAAGTGGTGTTAGACGTTCGAGCCGTGGATATCGATGCATGCACCCCACATGGTGTCCTGTTTAATATCACCAGACGTACGAAGTAAAAAATCACGTCAGTTTTCTACCCATCCTTTCCTCACAATGCTAACCTCTGCCCGGTGGCATGCCTTCAGGAGTACGAAAAATGGACCCAGTCAGTTCGGAACCCTACAAGACACGACCTATTCTTGGCGGTGAGGAAACCTCATCACCCAGTATCCACGGTAACTCTGGCATGCTGGGTGAAATGGATAATGTCAGCTGCTGACATCAACACATCAGTTTACGGAGCACATTCTACTAGAGGTGCTATGGCCTCTAAAGCATTCTCAATTGGTTGTAAACTGGAGGACCTTCTCCGCACAGCTGATTGGTCCCGAGAATCGATGTTTAAAGAATACTATTTTCGGCCAACAGAACATATCTCGTCTATGGTCATCTCACAGCTTTAAACTAGCCTAATATGAACCTCTGTGTCCTTTAATAAAATTACCAGATTTTACTAATTACATGATGTAAAGTCTTTTATTTTATTTAGGACACGGAGGTGAGTATTAGCCCGCCCGATGACAGGTAGGCCATACATGTATCTTCCCACCCAATTGCCTATAAACAGGTAGGAGTGATTTGGATGTTCAGATGCAGTGTTATATATTAATAATAATAATAATTTTGATTTTGAATTTGCTGGACTTAAGAAAAATGTTTCAGATATGAACGCTTTTTGAAAAACTTGTACAGCTTATATACATGACAACGATATTTGAATATTTTTTACCATATACCTCTCTGTCTCCTACAGCTTAACCCTGTGATGGACTAACCGGGATCATCCTCTACCGGAGATTACCCAAGTTTAAGAATTTTCCCTTGTTGATGTGTTCAGCTTCCGCGTCAGCTAGAAAGAGGGAGTGGCTTAGGTCACATGAGGAGACATAGTACAAGGACTGATCCCATTGGTTAATATATCTGGAATGTTATATGGTTAACCCTTAAGGGTATTTGTTTTTTTTCTTGTTATTGCTATATTGAAAATATCAATATCCTTTCTTTGCTGCTGAGGAATAAAGAAAGAGATAATGACTAATACTCGCCTCCGTGTCCTTTAATAAAATCATGACTTTACGTCATGTAATTAGTAAAATCCGGTAATTTTATTAAAGACAGGAGGCGAGTATTACCCCTCCCATTAACCCACCCTTTTCTTTATGTTTCAGCTTAAAGGGACACTATAGTCACCAGAACAACTACAGCTTATTGCATTTGTTCTGGTGAGTAGAATCATTACCTTCAGGCTTTTTGCTGTAAACAGTGTCTTTTCAGAGAAAATGCAGTGTTTACATTACAGCCTAGTGATAACTTCACTGGCCACTCCTTAGATGGCTGTTAGAGGTCCTTCCTGGGTCATGGCTGCCTAAAATGCATCCAAACATTCAGTGTCTCCTCCCTCTGCATGCAGACACTGAACTTGCCTCATAGAGATTCATTGATTCAATGTATCTCTATGAGGAGATGCTGATTGGCCAGGGCTGTGTTTGAATCATGCTGGCTCTGCCCCTGATCTGCCTTTTTGTCAGTCTCAGCCAATCCTATGGGGAAGCATTGTAATTGGATCAGACTACCACTTCTGATGATGTCAGCAGACTGCTTGTTTTTCTGAGGCAAACAGCATGCAGAGTTACAGCTTCAGGCTTGAATACAGTAAGATTTTGCTATATTTATGGAGGCACAAGGGGCCGAGGAGGTCTAGATGGTGGTTTTAACCCTATAGGGTCAGGAATACATGTTTGTGTTCCTGACCCTATATTGATCCTTTAATCCTGTTTCGAGTTTCTGTTGGGTTCATTTTCTTATCTTTGGAGTTTACTCTGTTATTTACTTATTCTAGTCACAGCTCGAAAGAGGAAGGAGGCTGGGGATCATTCACTCTGTAGACGACACTGGATGCTGATTGACTACGGAATATCCCATTTCAGTTACTGTTTGTTTTTTTTGTCTTTTGTTCACTAAATTTGGTATTTATATAGCACCAGCTTATTCCGCAGCGCTTTACAATAAGAGGGGAATTTACCAAATGAGACAATAACAAAATGTAACAGCAACAATTTATTGAAAAAATGTCTTTGCTGCTGGAGTAAAGTAAAGAAAGTTAATGCATAATACTCCCCTCCTGTATTTAATAAAATGTATATTTTCTGATGTCAAGACTAGGAAAATCTTTTCTGCCGCCACTGAAGCTTTCCTCCTGTCTCCCTATCCCTTTCCATTCCATTTAGGCTATATTTCTGGTGCTTTTTATATTTGTGCGCATGTTTTCTCTGATTTGCACAGAAATGTTCCTTACTTTGTCTTGTGTCAGTTTATTTTTCTGTTCCATTTTGGTTCTTTTTTTATCGTCTCACAAATGTGTCACTCCCAATGTAACAAAGCAAGCACAAAAGTGAGCCCTTATTTTGGGAACATTTTCCACCGCTATGTGAATGGTGGATTATCTGTGATGAGAGCTGCTTTCACGGACATACCGTTGAATAAATGTCCTTTAAATTGGAAATGCGCCCTTTTCCCCAAAAAATAAACCCAAAAGAGTAATAAAAATGGTTGAAATTAAGCAGTATTGTGGCGCATTACAGAAAATGCAGAAAAAACTGTCCCCAATGTATAAAGATGGAGTAATAACTTTAGACAAACGTAAATGGTGCATTTGTACAAAACTGGCGCAAAGTTTCGATATCACCCCCAGAATATCTGATTTTATTCCTCATTTGCATTGTGTGCCCTGGATGTGCCAGGACTATACCGGATTGTAATTACATTTTATAAATCTTTAATATACATTTCTTTTTTTAAATCAAGCTTCACTTGGAAAAAGAAAAAGTCCAGCTTTGTTTCAATATGTTAGCCAGTGATGTAGAGCCTGAGAAGGGACGATTCCCCTTTAAGGACAGGCCAATGACGTCACCAGGGCTTCCCTTCTCACAGCGCAGGAGGGAGGCTGGGCTCCTATAGAGCTTAGTTATTGGCTGCTACGGAGACACGTCACATTCCGGGGGGCGGAGCTAACAGCCTGGTTCCAGTCCCTTTAAATCCCTGGGCTCTGCCTGAGTCTGCTCTCCCTCAATCCAGTCCCCGGTCATCCTGCTCCCACCAGCCTGCTCTCCCCCCAATAACCTGCTCTCTCCTTAATACCCCACTGCCAGCCTGCTCTCCCCCCCAATAACCTGCTCTCTCACTGCCAGCCTGCTCTCCCCCCCCCAAGAACCTGCTCTCTCCTTAATACCCCACTGCCAGCCTGCTCTCCCCCCCAATAACCTGCTCTCTCCTGCCAGCCTGCTCTCCCCAATGCTCTCTCCTTAATACCCCACTGCCAGCCTGCTCTCCCCCAATAACCTGCTCTCTCCTGCCAGCCTGCTCTCCTCCCCAAGAACCTGCTCTCTCCTTAATACCCCACTGCCAGCCTGCTCTCTCCCCCTTAATACCCCACTGTCAGTCTCTACTCCCCCCAATAACCTGCTCTCTCCTTAATACCCCTGTCAGCCTGCTCTCTCCCCTCAATACCCCACTGCCAGTCTGCTCTCCCCCTTAATATCCTACTGTCAGCCTGCTCTCCCCCTTAATACCCACTGCCAGCCTGCTCTCTCTCCCTTAATACCCCCCTGCCAGTCTGCTCTCCCCCTTAATACCCCACTGCCAGCCTGTTCTCTCCCTTAATACCCCACTGCCAGCCTCTACTCCCCCCCCCAATAACCTGCTATCTCCCTTAATACCCCACTGCCAGTCTGCTCTCTCCCTTAATACCCCACTGTCAGCCTGCTCTCCCCCTTAATACCTCACTGCCAGTCTGCTCTCCCCCTTAATACCCCACTGTCAGTCTGCTCTCCCCCTTAGTACCCCACTGGCAGCCTGCTCTCTCCCTTAATACCCCACTGGCGTCTGCTCTCCCCCTTAATACCCCACTGCCAGTCTGCTCTCCCCCGTAATACCCCACTGGCAGCCTGCTCTCCCCCTTAATACCCCACTGTCAGCCTGCTCTCTCCCTTAATACCCCACTGTCAGCCTGCTCTCCCCCTTAATACCCCACTGTCAGCCTGCTCTGCATAATACCCCACTGCCAGTCTGCTCTCTGGCTTAGCCTGCCAGTCTGCTCTGCCTTACTCCTTATACCCCACTGCCAACACTCCTTAATACCCCACTGTCAGCCTGCTCTCTCCTTAATACCCACTGCCAGTCTATCTCCCATAATACCCCCACTGCCACCTGCTCTCCCCCTTAATACCCCACTGCCAGCTTGCTCACTCCCTTAATACCCCACTGTCAGTCTGCTCACTCCCTTAATACCCCACTGTCAGCCTGCTCTCCCCCTTAATACCCCACTGCCAGCTTGCTCACTCCCTTAATACCCCACTGTCAGTCTGCTCACTCCCTTAATACCCCACTGCCAGTCTGCTCTCCCCCCCTTAATACCCCACTGTCAGTCTGCTCACTCCCTTAATACCCCACTGCCAGCCTGCTCACTCCCTTAATACCCCACTGGCAGCCTTCCCTCTCTAATAACCCGCTAACCTGAACCCTCCTCTCTGACTCCCCTTTCACCTACTGCCAGTCTGCTCCCCCCTAACACTCTGTTAGTGTGCCTTCCCCATACCGGTCTGCTCTCCCGGTCTCTGCCGCCGATATGTGGGACTTACAGCGGGGCTGGAACCTGTCTTTCGCCGGCTGCGGGTTCCTGGGGGTGTACCATGTGGGGGTGTCCAGCTGCCTGCAGGAGAGAGCCCCCCGACTCATCACAGAGGCCACCAAGATCTATGGGGCATCGGCGGGGGCCCTGAACGCGGCCGCCCTGGTCTGTGGCTGCTGCCTGGGTGAGTGGGAGCCTGGAGCCCTTATTATTATTATTATTATTATTATTATTATTATTATTATCAGCAGGTACCATAATGTTCTATAGCCCCCATTATATGAGCTAGTGGGGTCCCCATTGCTTTATATAAACCCCCTTTATCAGCAGGTACCATAATATTCTATAGCCCCCATTATATGAGCTAGTGGGGTCCATTGCTTTATATAAATCCCCATAGCAGCAGGTACCATAATATTCTATAGCCCCCATTATATGAGCTAGTGGGGTCCATTGCTTTATATAAACCCCCTTTATCAGCAGGTACCATAATGTTCTATAGCCCCCATTATATGAGCTAGTGGGGTCCATTGCTTTATATAAACCCCCTTTATCAGCAGGTACCATAATGTTCTATAGCCCCCATTATATGAGCTAGTGGGGTCCCCATTGCTTTATATAAAACCCCATATCAGCAGGTACCATAATGTTCTATAGCCCCCATTATATGAGCTAGTGGGGTCCATTGCTTTATATAAACCCCCTTTATCAGCAGGTACAGTAGGTTTGATAGACCCCCTTACTCATTGTTTCACAGCCCCCACACACCACTCTGATCTGTAGACAAGCTGTGAATCCGGTTTATTTGCATTGATCACTAGCTTTACAAACAGTCCATTCATTTCATGTGCTGATTGCTGGTACTAGGGCTGTAATCAGACAGGAATGGGGTGAATAAATTGCATTCAGTAAATACACAGAGAGCTAATGCCCAGTGGATCCCAACTAATAGTATTGGTGTTTAAAGTCTTCTTTCAGGGTTCCTTGTTTTCTAATTTGAAGATCAGATATAAATGCCAGGTTGTGATAGCATTAATTATTATGTATATAGTGAGCATTGCACCATGGGATAAATCCATGTAAGCCCCCTGTAGCCCAGTATCTGATCAGTACATTCCCTGCCTGTCTGCAGAGAGATACATTGTAAATTATTCTCAATGAATGCTTTTGAACTGTGTGTGTATTTGGAATGTTGCAGTCATCAGATGGAGCTGGGATTTGATTGGCTCCGAGCAGTGAGCTGATTGCTCCCCCACCCCCCCTAGGAGGTTACTGTCGGTCATTGCTCTGACCTCTTGTGTCATCGCCCAGAGAGTGTCTAAAGGATATCTCCGCCCCTTTACCAAATCCCCAGTTTGTCAGTAATTGTGTCTGTTTGTGCATGTTTTGGTGGTTGTTGCCGTTTCTTTTTTTTAAAAACATACAGGAACAGGTTTAATGACCGAAATGAGCTCACAATCTATAGAGCTCTGATGTGATCCTTTATTTCATAGTTTATTCACCATGAGTTAATAATAAGAACCTGTGACATTCTGTATTTGATGTTTTCTGGATACAAACTAAAACTTCTGCTATTGTTCTAAAAGTGATATTCTTACTGTGTTAAACATTCCCTTCCTGCGCCAGAGACAGACATTGTAGCGAGACATAGAAACCTAGAAACAGAGAATGTGACAGCAGATAAGAACCATTCGGCCCATCTAGTCTGCCCAACTTTCTAAATACTTTCATTAGTCCCTGGCCTTATCTTATAGTTAGGATAGCCTTATGCCTATCCCACGCATGCTTAAACTCCTTTACTGTGAGACAGTTTGCTGAAACTATGGGTCAGTGCCACCGTCAGCCTGTCTGCCTTGGCTCATTCATTCCTAATACATTCCTTCAGGCTGATTAATGGGTCAAAGGCAGCAGGTTGTTTATCAGGTGGGTTAAACACTCCTTCCATGCGATAGTTGTGGTATATTTATCTAAAACTTAGGAATGAGATAACATTCTAATTAGAAACCCACATAATTTGTTACAGACACACCGAACTAACCAGTGGTATCCCATATTGGCTTCTGTCGGATTACTAGCCACATCTAATAACTAGCCAGTCACTTGCACAAACAGGACTGGCATTACTCCCTGCAGAATACTCTCACTGCACAGCGCTGCGTAATGCCCCCACTGCACTGCACAGCGCTGCGTAATGCCCCCACTGCACAGCGCTGCGTAATGCCCCCACTGCACTGCACAGCGCTGCTTAATGCCCCCACTGCACTGCACAGCGCTGCGTAATGCCCCCACTGCACAGCGCTGCGTAATGCCCCCACTGCACTGCACAGCGCTGCTTAATGCCCCCACTGCACTGCACAACTAGCCAGTCACTTGCACAAACAGGACTGGCATTACTCCCTGCAGAATACTCTCACTGCACAGCGCTGCGTAATGCCCCCACTGCACTGCACAGCGCTGCGTAATGCCCCCACTGCACTGCACAGCGCTGCGTAATGCCCCCACTGCACAGCGCTGCGTAATGCCCCCACTGCACTGCACAGCGCTGCTTAATGCCCCCACTGCACAACGCTGCGTAATACATTGACACTTTATCAATAACCCTGCCTTTGTGGAATAGCCCCCTTTTTCCTTCTGTCGTTCACCTTTTTGGCTGATCACTGTGATTAGTTAGGAGGTCAGCAGCTCACCCCAGAGTGTGTAGTAGAACAAGCTGTCTGAGTGATATGGAGATGGCTTTCCCCTGCTCCCATTGCCCTGGCAGGGTGTGACCTCATGTCCCTTCTACCTGATGTTGTCCAGCACAGGGCTGTGCAAGGGGAGCGAACAAAGCAGTCTGTTACTGCTTCACGCACAGGGGTGAGCTAAGGCGACTAACCTCTGAAGGTGGATTTACTTTGAGTGCCACTCCTGTGGATTCTCTTTACAGTCATGCACCCAACTAGCTTGTTAACCCCTTAAGGACACATGACATGTGTGACATGTCATGATTCCCTTTTATTCCAGAAGTTTGGTCTTTAAGGGGTTAACAGTGTGCATAACTGTAACATGAACCCTCACTGTCTCTCACTAGCCGACAGGGTTAGTTGTATATACATGTCATGCACCTCGCCACATACTAAGTTGCATAATGCCACTGTCATTCACCCAGCCACACAGTGTCGCATACCCCATACAGTCACACTAGTGACCCACCTAGTCACATCAACCTCGCCCAATCAGTAAGATAATTACCCACCCAGTCACATTCACCCAGCCACACAATGTCACATACCCCATATAGTCACACAAAGTCACCCACCTAGTCACATACCTTCATACAGTCACATCAACCTCACCCAATCAATTAGATAATTATTTACCCACGCAGTCAGACACACTTATCCACACTGTTAAATCTTCTCCATCTTCCACTCCACCGATCAAATACCCCTACCCACCTAGTCACTTGCAACATACACTGTCACATAGCTACCTGCTCCCAACAACCTATATTTGTTCACCCACGCTGAAAATGGACCCCACAGGCTTGCAGTGGCTAGTAACCTTTGAGACCTGGCTAGTAGCATAGAACTTGAAATTTTAAGCCCCAAACATACACCTATTATACACATGTACAAATGCGGTCACATTACACTCATTTATAAGAAATCTCCATCGTTTTTTTGCGATGTTGGGAATGAGGAATGGGTCCCACCAATATCTTCAGTGTTTTTATGGTTAAATGAACACAATGGTTTTAGGAATACAAAGCCGTTTTCTGAATGCCCTGCCCCTAATTCTTTATAGGTTTCCACTGTGCCATAAAACTTAAATATTATTCTCTTGCGCCCTGTTTTTTTGCTCTCCATAAAACTTAATTAAAATCAATGTTTACTCCCCTCTTTCGAGGGCCAAGGCTCCCTTGGTGATGCTCACCTCTCCACCTCCTGCAATGTCATTGAGGAGGCATGGCTTCCTCCATTATTGACCAGTCCAATGCTCCATGATGGACCTGGTGCACATGCGCCGTAAGAGCCACATTTGCATCCAAGCTTTCTAAAAACCCAATGCGTTCCTATGGGCTTGAGTATTACTCAGTGCAGCGGAAGTGCCTCTAGTAACAGTGTGACAGGTTTAATCCTGCAATTCTACAATAACTGCAATGTTTTTTACATGGCAAGGTTAAAATGAGTGGTCCTTGGTTCCCCATTCGTACAGAAACAACCCACTCCCTTACTGACACCAGGGCTGGATCCTCACACTTAATACCAGTGAGATATAAAGGGGATAACTTACTCCAGATGTGTATAAGGAATTGGACCCGGTCACTTAGACCTTACTTATAGGGAGGAAACATTTGGGCTCCGGGTTCTATTTTTGGTTTTATTTGAGCCCTGGCGTATAGAATGTCTGTGTTTTCCTAATATATGTTATGTTTATCACTTACTGCAAACGTTATAAAGT